CATTGTCTACAACTTGCATTCAGGCCCTTGGCTTGGGTCTTTGCCTCCCGGATGGTATGCCTTTTCTACTTCACTTTTTAGCTTGACCTTTTTTGGGGTCCAAAGCTGCAGGATTTTAAAGCAGCTTTCTTGAATTTCTTCTTTAGTTGCTCAAAAGACACCAATGAAGATGATGGGGCAGAGAGATCCCCAGCATCCAGGCAGTCGGATAAATGCAGACACAGGCAATATCCCCAGACTAAAATTGCACAAACACGTCTGACTGAAGGCTGTTAGCCATGTTCTTCCATGAGGTCTGGGCCACATGTCAGTCACGCTCACAGTTTAGCACCCGAAGGCACAAAAATCTAGCTCTCTGAGCCCTCATCTTTCTGCCTTTAAGTTAACAGAATCTTGACCCACTAGTAGAGGTGTAAGTTTCTTTTACTCTTTCAGATGTTAGAGGTGATGACATCCTCTGTCTTGGGGCCTCTTCAATTTTGTAGGCCATGGGAACACAGGCCATTGAACCATGCTCAATAGACTGTTTCACAAGAGACTTGTACAAATGAACTGCTAGAACAGCACCTGTCCAGGAGCTGTGGTCACCTGCAGCAGGTAGAGCAGGATGCTGGCCGCCTGGTGAGCTCACAGCCTATGAGGCGAAGGTGAAGTGTCAAGGCTCCTTGGTGTGGATGGTGTGAGGTAGAGCTGGTCTTAAGGCAGGAGGTACCGTGGTGTACAGCCTGCCCCAGTCAGCACCTATGTGACATGGGGGGAATTGCTGGCTTCTGGCAGGTGTGGAGGTCCCCCAAAAAGTGCTAATTTTTGAAAGGGTCTGAATTCTCCCTTTCAATGACACTACTGGTTCTAAACAGAAATTCCTTGTAGGGAGATTTAATTTTTAGAAATGAATTTGCTATTCCAAGTCAAGTCAAGTCGAGTCGAGTCTAAGAATATAAACAAGTGATTAAATTCAATAATATCTTTGTGAGACACTGGTTTTGACCAAAGTAATGAGGCCTGGCTTTCTGTATGACTCAAAGTATTTCTGAAGGCAATTACAAAATAGGGATTTCACAAACAGTCTGTGAAACGACTGTGTTACTGGAATAAATAAATAACCTGCCAAGGTGACTACTTTGAAGACTAATATTAATTTGGATGTGTTAGATCTCATTGTTATACAGTCACACCTGGAAGAATGCTTTAGTGAGCCCAGATTTTGCAGAATAAATATCACCCACTTCATACATAATTATAGACCAGAATGAAATGAGAAAACAAATAAGACCAGAAAATAGAAACTGTAGTATAGTAATAACCACTCGTATTGTGATGATACTAAAAATCACAGTGAAATGACTAAGCACAGAACACTTTAAGGTAATCCTTCTAGAAAGTCACCTTTACTAGCATCTGTTTAAAAAATTATCAGAAAGAATAGTGTGGAACTCTATTAAACAGTTAAGAAAAACTGAATTCATATGTCATCTCAGATTTGTTTCAAAATAATAGTGGGGAAAAGGCCGTGGATGAATTGGACTTGAAAGGATTTTACTGAAGCAAGTGGATGAGTACATCTGTCTGTTTTTGTTTTATGCTTAAAATTTTCCACAATAAAAGTCAGAAAAAGAGAAATTGGTTATGGAAATATGTAGTTTTGGGAAATAAGCATATCTTACAGCTATGCGGATGTTGCAAACAAACAGAATTTCTTTCCTCCGATACTCAAAATATTGATATTATCAATTTAGAGAGGTACATTTTTAATAAAAAGGAATTAATCGGTGAGGGTATGTGCTAGCTGACATTCTTGACAATAACAAGAAAACCAAATCTGTTTTGGAGTAAGTAGCTACCAGTTGGGAAATGACATTATCTCTGTAAACCATTTATATTAATATACAGACATCATTTGATTTTTTTTTGGTTGGAGTCTCACTCTGTTGCACAGGCTGGAGTGCAATGGTATGCTCACAGCCACCGCAGACCCCACCTGCTGGGCTTAGGCAATCCTTCCACAATCAGCCTTCCAAGTAGCAGGAACTACAGATATACGCCACCACGCCCGGCTAGTTTTTGTGATTTATTGTAGAGAGAAGGTCTCACCAAGTTGCTCAGAGTGGTCTCGAACCCCTGGGGTTGGCCTCCCAAAGTGCTGGGATTACAGGCTGAGCCACTGTGCCCGGCCCATTTGATTATTTTTAATGCTGACAGAATATGTTTGAAAGGATTAACATATTACAAGTTTGCCTTCAAACTTGACTAAACATAAATATGTAAAGTAATCTACATATGTCTAAGTTCTAAATATGATGTGTTTTTTGCTTGACATCCTTATGGTGAATACTGGCTCAAGTAGGGCAGTCAGATACACACAGCTCCTAGGTTTATACATAGAATTCCATGAACTTCACATATGAAGCTATGGAATAGGCAGGTTGGGAATGCCCTTTCAGATTTTGGATTTGTCGAGTCATCTACTGTCTCTGTCCCTGAAGATCAGCTTCATGAAGACATGGCCCTATCCCAGCACATTGGGAGGCTGAGGTGAGAGAATTGCCTAAGCTCAGGGGTTTGAGATCAGCCTGGGTAACTTGGTGAGACCTCATCTCTACAATAAATCAAAAAATTAGCCAGGCATGGTAGTGTGCACCTGTAGTTCCAGCAACTTGGGAGGCTGAGGAGAAGGATCGTCTGAGTCCAGCAGGTCGAGGCTGGGGTGGCTGTGAGCATGCCATTGCACTCCAGCCTGGGCAACAGAGTGAGACTCCAATCCAAAAAAAAAAAAAAAATCCAGGAAACATATTAAATGAAACGACGAAAAAATTAAAATGACTTTGAAACTGCCAAAGTATCTCATGTTCTAAAAAGCGGATATTCTTTAAAGTTCCTTAAAGTTCACAGGATGCAATATCACCAGCATAAACTTTATAACCAGGCTGATTGGAATTTTAATTTTGGCATACTGGTGATATACTTTGGGGCAAATTACTTATTTACTTGTTTGCCTAAGTTTCACCAACTTTAAAATAGCCATGTAGTTTTAAACACGTCATGAGGATTAGGTAAATCCAGAGCTAGCACTCTGGGCTTACTATGTGCAGATTCTATCCTAAGCACTAAAAACAGTACTTATTTAATCCCAAAAGCCTTCAGATGATGTAACCACGTTCTTCCAGATGAGGTCACTTGACGGAGTCAAATAACTTGTTCAAGTGCACAAGGAGAATGAGTCTCTGAACTTGGGTGGTCAGAATTCAAAGGCCACATCCTTGACGGTTCCACATGACCCAGGACACAGCAGAAGTTCAGGAAATATTTGTTCCTTCACCTTGGCAGGCCTACTTTATAGATGGAAAATCCAAGTATATATTTAAAATAACTTTACTATAAAGGTGGCAAAGTTTCCCCTAGTTTTTAAAATATCATTATCTAAGTTGTTGCAAGTGAAAATGTACAAGTGATTTATGGAAGAGCTAACTTTTAAAATTTGGAATTATCTAGTTTAGAGTATCTGATGTCAAATTTTCCAAAAGGGTGTTTTACAAAAAGAACTTATTAGATTAGATAAAATAACATCCTCTCTTTCCAACAATGAAAAAAATCATGAAACAACCTCTATTGAAAGTACAGTATTTTAAATGATCTGAGTGAACAAATACCAACTTTTAATATTTCCATCCAGTATTAAGAAAAATATGGTGAAGATAATTTTCTTCTGATAGGAATAACCAAGTTGTTGTTCCTAGATAAAATGTATATCAACTTTATACTTAAGAACAAGGTTTAAAATTAAATAGAATTACACTAATGTTACAGAAAAGCAACAAATATGACTTAGTCAAAATTTGAACTACATTCTCAAAGGATTAAATAAAAGGGACTATATAAAATATTGCACCTAAATGATTCACCAACAGTAAGATGCTTTGGCACATTAAAAATAAATTGTGTAGACATCCAAATGTGTGATACTCAAAGCAGGGAGCATGTACTGACATATTACAGTCACAAGAACCAGTGACTCTGTCATTAACCCCAGGTATTGTGTTGTTTACTGAAAATGTTGACCAAATCTTCACTTTACTGAAATAAATTCCCTGTTGAAAAATATTAAATGTTATTAGACTTCAATGAATATTGGAAACATAGCTAAATCATAAAATGCATGTGTAATCCAAAAATAAAAACATGACCACCTATATAAATTCTCAATGTTCCCTAAGGTTACCCACATTAAAGGAATCTGATCTCTGAAATTCATTTGCCACCAAATCATGATGAATTACAGAATTTTCAACATAAACTTGAACTATCCTAGATGAAAATGTAAATTCACAAAGGGGAGGGACTTTGAGGTCAAACAAACAAAAAATTCAACAAGTAGTGACCTCTAAAATGCTGTCTTTAGTAATTCTAAAGTTAAATATATTCAAGTTAATGCTAGCCCTTTGGAGTATAGTTTCCTAACATTTGTGGCAGAGAAAATTCATTTTTTGGTTGCTAAACAGACTTATTAGAATAATGGCAGGAAAGGCGAAAGGAAATTTCCACTGCTTGGGACATTTCTATAGTGTCTTTCCATAGCTCTGTGAAGTACATAAGTAGTAGCAGAAGGTGGCAGTGCTGAGCTAGAAACCCTCAGACAGCTTCAGGAGTGGTGGCTGAAGCCTTAGGTAGCCCAACAGCCCCAGGCCTCTGAAATCAATCATCAGACTTTATTATAGATAAATAACGTGAAACTCTAGCAAGTCTCACCTTTGAACTAAATGTTTCTAAAACAACTGCAGATTTTCAACAGAAATCAGGGATAATCCCTAGATTTAATAATAAATAATAAATAATCGGGGATAGTCGGGGATAGTACCTAGATTTTAAGAAAGACCTACTTGATGGCACTGTTGTCCTACCTGGTCAGCAATGCTTGTTCCAAGTCAATGAAATGTGTCTAACGAAACAATAACATGCAAACCTTTGAAAGGGATCAATGAGGCAGAAAGGCCCACCCAGCTTACCATTCATCAGGAGAGCAGCCATAATCCTCAGGCTCAGGGACATGGCTTCAAAAAGCAGAGGAGGGGCAGAGAGAGAGAACAATCACAGAAAGGCTGGAAACAGAGCAGGAAGGAAGGGAGTGTGGGGAAGGTGGGTCTTCAGAAGTTAACAAAATGAGCTTTTAGTTGAATCTGAAAGAATGGCAGTTAGTATAGTGAGCAGGAACATCATGATTTTTAGTCACCAAGCAGGTTTACAAAGTCCCCTGAGACTAGATGGCTGACATGCCCCTTCACCCCAAAATTTGTTGATTTTATGCACCAAATGCAGGATGCAGTAGGAAATATCTGAACTTAGCAGCTTAAACACATGCTAAAGTCAAATGAAAGTTAATCATATATTCTGTATAATCAGGATAAAAATGTTTTAGTGAAACAAACATGCTGATACCTAGGAACAAGCTAGCACATGGAAAACATTTGCCAAATACATTTGACAAGTAGCTTTGGCTACTAGTGAGGAAGGTTCCTTAAACAGGTAAATTCAAGTAAAACTTAATTGCTTTTCTATAATAAATGGAACCCTATTTTGAAAGACAACATGCTATTCAAAAATTAAAACTTTTTCACATAAACCCCAATTCAGTCATTAAACACTGTTTATCTCAAATAGTAAACATGTTCATCATCGATACTTTAACCCAGTAGCTCATCTAAGCACTAGCAAAGTCTGATTGCTGTATTGCATCTCAACCAGTGATGTATTTGGCCAGAAGTGGCCCCTAAGACTTGACAGAGCAGATTTTCTTATTTCTCATTTCTTTCATGGTATCTGATCACTCAATATTTTTCCTTTAAATTACATTCATTAGATTCAGGCCAAGTTTTTGAAAGTAGAGCTCAGTTCAAAGGAAAAGTCAGTTACTTTTGACAAACATGCCACAAACTCTGTTGAAAATTCATGAGGTCCTTTCGTTCCCTAAATGTTCACCTCACTTCACTCTTTCACCAACCCGGCCAGGATGTGGATCTCATCATTAGACAGCACCTCTTCCACTTCCAAAACATTAAGCTGCTTATGGTGCAGTACCCACCACATCATTCCAGTCCCAATATAGGCGGTCCCATTTAACTCACTGTTCTCCCTCCTGCCAAAGGGCTTTTGTGTATGCTTCAGAAGAAGGTCTAACAGAGTCCTTTATGGGCTGGAATCCCAGAAAAGGAGCTGGCACGCTGCAAAGCTCTGTGGAAACTGGCTGCAGCCCCATGTTCCAAGCAATCACTTCTGATCAACTGCAAGGCTTGGTCCCCAGTCTCTGGACTCTACGCGGGTGAGTGGTTGGGAAGGGTGGGGAGGCCTGATACTACCCAAGCAACAAACACTGTGCCAGGCTCTGCCAAACTGCATAAGCCCCTCATACCAGGAGGGGCTAGTGTTCCCATGTAGCTAAAAGCCCCAGAGCTCAAGGTCTAGAGTCCCCGGTCCTCAACTCTGGTGTAGCCCTGGCCAGATGCTGGGGCACTCTCCAGAGCATGGTAAGCAGGTGATTCACAGGCCTGCCACGGATCCTGCCTGGAAGTTTCTCCGTGATGGTGATCGCTGCTCCAGCAGCTCTGGTGTCTACGTGTTGTCTGGCTGTTTGCCCTCATACATATTGGTGCCATCATATCTACCTGGTATGTTCTTCACTTAATCAAATTAATTCTTCCATCTCAGCTCCAAAGTACCTCTCTCAGGAAGCATTCCCTGACCTCCTTGTTAGATCAAACCGACCGTGACAGACTCACATAGACTTTGCACTGTCAGGACTTTATATCTGACTGCATGATTACTTACTGAACATCCATTAACCCCTAATTAAGCTATAAACTTAAGGAGGGCGGGTACCATAGGAACTTTTGCCAGTTATTTTTATCTCCATCATCTAACAAAGGATCACATATCTAGAAGGTGATTGAATGACATTTGTGGAGGTATGTGAATAAATGAATGAATGGTGTTGACTAGCATATATCCCCAGTCATGGTGAGCAGTTAAGACAAACATGGCTGTGATCTAGATCTGGGGGAGGGGGCGGAATTCTGATAAATGTGAGGTTTCTCACAGTGAGTCTTTTCTCAGGGTTAAAGAAGTAGATAATCCTTTCAGCAAATATACTGCGAAACAAAATATTGTCAGGTAAAGCTATATTAAAGTATATATACTATATCAAGTAAAGTTAATGTCTATTATATTCATAGACAGAAAACAACTGTTTTTAAGAACATTCTTTTTTCTTTTAACTTAAAGGAAATGTAAACGTTCTTATAATTCAGTGCCTTGTCTACAAAAAAGGCACTGTTTAATCTGTTTAACAGATTTTTTTTTTTTTTTGAGTTGGAGTCTCACTCGGTCGCCCAGACTGGAGTGCAGTGGCCACTCCCGGCCATCGCAGCCTCGCCTGCTGGGCTCTGGCGATCCTTCCGCCTCATCCTTCCGAGTAGCTGGAATTACAGGCATGCGCTACCACGCCCGGCTGATTTTTTGATTTATTGTAGAGATGAGGTCTCGCTGCCCAGGCAGGTCTCGAACCCGCGGGCTCAGGCAATCCACTCACCTCAGCCTCCCAAAGGCGCGGGATTACAGGCTAAACCACCGAGCCTGGCTGTTTAACAGATTTTTTTTTTTTTGGCCTTAGAGACTGTATTTGTTAAGCCTCACCCAACTCATTTTAAGTAAGGTCTAAATTGTTAACAAAGATGGTACTGAGCATTGTATCCTATTCACTGTATTGAGAATCATAGCCATTGAATAGAAAAATTCCTTACCTATTCCTGGTATTCAAATAACTATTATGAAATGGACTTATTTCCTGCAGAAGGCAATTTGCTGAATAATACTTTAATAATTAATGTTTACAGTAGAATGTCTGGTTCTCAGTAAGTTAAATTTACAAATGATATCACAATTTACTTACATTTAACTACAATTGTTTCACTAAAAAAGATCTAATGAAATAATCTAATAATTTTAAGCATGGTGAGCGCATCCCAAGCAAAAGTTGATCTTTACAAAATAATCGTCGTTGGCAACTATGTATAAGTCTTTTAATTTTGTTGCTCATCATGAACCCACTTTAGGACAAAGGTTAAGGGAAATGAAAAAAAAATTACTGAAATTAAAATGTAAGGTACTACTTTAAGTATTAACTATTATCTTCTTACAAATCCAGGAAATACACAGAACTAGTTAAAGAGTACTGTCAGGAGGTTCAAGGCCTGTTCCTCTAGCTGATAAAACAGGACTCACCTTGGACCCTACTCAGGGTAAAATTGAGTTTTACCTTACCTCTTAGAAAGTTGAAGCAAAACCAGCTCTGAACTTGTAACCCCAAAGGGGTTACAGTATATGAAAGTCTGTGTTACTCTCTCTAGTGTTGCTATCTTCTGGGGGGATGAACACCTTGCTTTCTTCTGCTGGGGTTGAAAGTGCTCATACATAATAATTCCCCATATTAAACAATTATTAAACAATACTATGGGGCAAATGGGATAGTAAAAGCATGTCATTTCCCCCTCTGTCTAGGTTCCTAAAACCCAGGAATGCCCAGAGGAAATTCCCAGAAGAATGTGGTTGATAGAATTGCTCTCTCACCACACCCCCAACCATGGAGATTGGCTGGAATTAAGTATCAGTGCTTTGGCCCTACCATAAACACGTGAGATATCAATAACTCTCTACAATGCAGACAATCCAACTGTTCACCAGGATGTGTGGGGGAGAGATTGCCCGTAAAAACTCAATCAGGGTTAAGGATGCCTAAAACCAGAGTTTAACAATGGGTTTTATGCAAAGTGGTTCTGGGATTCTTGAAAAGCAGGATACAAGATCTAAAGAAGAAACGTATTTTGGAGATTGGTTGGAATCAAAATTTGTAAACAAAGGAACTGTTTTTTTTATTTCTAAATGTCATACTAGCTTTCATATCTGGAAAAAGACCTTGGAGATGGTTTGGTTTCATCGTTCTCAAGAGTTGGGAACATCTGAAGAGAAATTGTCTAGGGTCACAAGGCAGTCATGCCTTATGACTGTATCTCATTAGTAAGAACTATTATTTCCCCAAGAGGAAATTCACTTGGCTGGCAACTTAATCTCAATGATGACAATACTTAGCTCAAACCTGCCCTATCCCATAACAGTTGTTAGTGATGATATCATCAGCTGATACAGGAAGAGGATTGCTCTTCAGAACTGCTGCCTAGGGGTGTTTAAGGACCTGTTTCAAGAATAAGAAAAAAACCAACAAAACATAGAAGGAAAGAGAGCCTAGATCTAATTTTAGCTTTCTGCTCTGATAATTTCACAATCAATAATTACTACTCTGGAAAACCTGCTTACTGAATGGAAAATTGGGCAAAGTAAGAAATGATGCCAATTATTAAACAGTTCACTTGTGGAAATACTGTTTATGAATGAATGCAGAATTTGACTAAAAACAAACAGCACCATAAATCTGACAGCATGAGAAACTCTAGAATCGCAATAGGTCTTTCCTTTTCTCCTCTGGAATAATTGTGTGTAGAATATATAAGTGCAAGATGTCAAAAAGCATGACAACTTCTCAGTTCCAGTGGCAACTATGGGGAAGAAGAAGAGCTAGGAGACCTTCCTTTTTTTCCTCTAAGAAAATCAGGAAATCTTCAGATAAAGAAGATGAAAAACAGCATTTAGCCCAGGAAACAGTAAGTGCATCTCTTAAATCAACAGCCTGCTTTTACAATGGGAAAAAGACATTCAACCATCTTAATTTTTTAAATTATTTTTTTAATTTTTAGAGACAGAGTCTCACTCTGATGTCCAGGCTGGAGCTCAAGCAATCCTAGCACCTTGGCCTTCTGAGTAGCTGGGACTATAGGAATGCACCACTGCACCTGGCTAATGTAGAGATCGAGTCTTGCTATATTGTCCAGGCTAGTCTCAAATTGGGGCCTAAAGTGATTATCTTGCTTTGGTCTCTTAAAGCACTGAGATTAGAGGCATGAGCCACAGTGCTCAGTCTCAGCTGTCTTTTTTACTTCATTTACACACATAGTTTAAAGTCATTTTTAGCCACACTCTCTCCTAACCCAAAGAACGAGGGGATCTAGGAATAACCATATGCTTTTAGAATTTTTCACAAAATAATTTCCCATTTATATTTTGAACTAACGCATTTTCAAAATTCAACACTTTTACCCTAGCTTACTGCTCAGAAACAGAGTCAATAGGGAGGGGTGGGTGCTACCAGAAAACCCAGAAGCAAGTGCCCATGCTCGGAGGAGGAAGATGTTGATGTATGCCAGTCTCACTTGAGGTAGATAAGGACAAGTGAAAAGTTTGGTAAAAGGCCAATGTCAGCCAACTAGAAGAGTATCTCACCTTTTGATGTCTTTTCTAGAAAATGCAGAAATTAATTTTCACATGCTACCTGATAAAATATTTCAAAGAGAAGGCTTCTGGACAGCTTAGGTAAGCATGCCTGGAAGGAGGAAATCAATTAACTGTGTGCTTGACAAGCACTTTCTAGAGGACATTAATAGCCTGATAAAAGTTTCTGCTGATATTTATTATCTTCCAGACTTAAGAGTTTCATGTCTCTATCACCTTCCCATCATCAGAAGTTTAGATTGCTCTGTAACTCCAAAAAGAAGAGATGGCGAAAGAAAAGAAAAGAAAAAAAAATCAAAAGGGATGACTGTCAGAGAACAAATGCTATTTTAACTGAATTTAACTACTTTAACTGAAAACTGCCAAGGGCTGACTGTCTGCTTTACCACCTCCAGGCTGAACTCTAACTTAAGGCAGTATAAGGGAAATACATGCAATTGTTTTTTGTTACCAGGGCCAGAGAGCAACACTAATGCTGAAAAGGCTATAGAAAAGAGCACCCATCTCAGGTCACCCCAGATGGAAACAATATCAAGCTGCAAATACGAAACATACATGTGTCCTGAAATTAAAACGGCTGCTTTTTAGATAAAGAAAAACAACAAAAAACCCACTCTCCCCTAATAAGAACTCCCACATGCGCCAAACTGTTAGCACTAATTAAATGCATCTTTCATATTCTAATTAAAGGAGGGAAAAAAAAACTCACCCATAAGCAACTCCTGCTATGGTGCACTTCTTAAACTGCATGACATTGCATGTCAGAGTCCCAGTTTTGTCAGAAAATATGTATTTAACCTAAAAAAAAAAGTTTAAAATTTCTCAATATTTCAAAAGTCTTTTTATCCCAGTCTTTTATAAAAGAAAAATATCCCTTTACTTTTCAACAACCTTGTTACATTGCAGGGGCACAATGAATGCTATTAATTGACTACTTCTTTGGAATTCATCAAGGAATATATTCAACATTTTTTTTATGTGATGAATCTTTTCATAGATAAATACTAAAAACTACATTATACAGAATATGCCTTAGTATGGGCTACATTTCCACTAGAAAGTGCCACTACCACTACTTAGCATTTCTCAACAATAACAATCAATTTTAGAATTTGTGATAGCTTGTGCAGCTAACTTCATGCAACATCTGAATTGGTAAGATAAAGGAAAATTCTGGACTAAATGCTATTTGAAAAGTATGAGTTGGAAAACAACAATGGTACAAAAAAATCTGTTTTCAGCTAGAATATGTAAATAGAAAGACAAACATACACATATATGTGAATATAGTATGGATTATAAATATAAAATTCCTATTTGACTAGACTCACACAGCTTCATTGCCTTCCTTCCTGGTGGAAAGTTATGAACAGTTCTAATATCATGTTTATAACTCAAAATCAGTCAAGATTTTACATACTAATTAGACTAAATACTGAGAGATGGTTCTGGGCTTGTGCAGTACCTTGAGAGAAAAATCTGCTCTAAAGAGTGAATAAAACTGCATTTGCTAAAAATGAAAATTGTTAGTCATATTCCAACAAATGTATTTATGCCAATTATTCAAATAGTGGAAAATTAGGAGCCACGTATTCATCTGAAGTTACCACATATGGCAGATATTACACTGAATCCGATTTCTAATTCAACACCTATCAACAAGAAGTCAAGTTTACCTGGCCAAGTTCCTCATTTAGGTTAGATGTTCGAGCCATAGCAGCAGTGTCCGTGGGTTCATAGTGCATGTCGAGATCCTTTTAAAAAAAAATTAAGTAAAAGAAATCATTGACTGCAACTGGCAATAAGGGATTGAGTGAAATTTTAGATAAAATTAGTATATTAGTTCTTTAATAAGTCACTTTTTAATTGGCAAGCTTTACATGAGCCAGTCTATGCCATTTCATCATTGAGTCTATACTCAATAAGACTACTATGTTCCACAGTAAGGGTAGAACAGTGTGCTAGTTAGAGCCTGTTTAAGGGATCAGGCAATTGAGGCTTACTATCGTTCCACCATTTTCTAGATAAGTGACCTACTGTAAGGATTAAATAGCATAACACACACAAAGTGTTCCCCACAGTGTCTGACACAAGGTAAGTATTTAATGGTAACTGAACATTGCTCAAATAATTAGGTCTTTAAATCTCTGGAAAAATTGCCTAAGATATTCTATCTAGTTATACTTTCTGGGCCAAGTTTTTTTTGCATGGTAGATACTTAAAAGCAAAACCAAATGCACTTCTTAAAAGCCAAACATAAATGTATAGTTCCTGTACCTGTTTGTACTTGCCTTGGGCCCAGTAATCATGAGACTGGACTATATTATCTTTCAACATTAATATTTTCTATAGTAGACCACTTTATTAACAAGTCAGGGCTGTAGTTTACAGATTTTCTCATGTCGAATGAAAAGACCAAAATACATCAAAGTCCATCTCTCCCATGTCTGTATTCTGAACTGATCAATGTCACTTGTGAAATAGGCTGTTGAGTTTTATGTGCCATATTTTTTAAAATTAAAATTAAAATTTATTTTTATTTTAAAGATGTGGGGTACAATTCAGGATTGGGTATACAAGTGGTCATAGTACAGGTAAAGTTTGGGCCTCCCCTTGGTCTGCCATGCTTTAGGAGATATATTAACCAACTGGGCCATGTGCAGAGAAGAGGGAAGAGTGGAATGGAATGGAAATGAATCTGGGAATCACTGAAGTGAGGAACAGCAGAAGGAGATGGGGATGTTGAGTTAGGAAGAATAAGATAGAAGCATAGGCATGATGATAGCTGAGTTTGGATATTTTGCAAGGCTATCATTCAGAAATAAGATTAAACATTTTCATAGTAGATCCATTGGGAAGAACCAGAATCAAAGGAAGATAGTGATTAATCTCATTTTCACACAAGGAAGAAGTTGCCTTGTAAGGAAAGACTAGAAAACCAGTCTTTCGTCTGTCAGGGATGTTATAAAATCTCTGTACATTAGAAAAGTGATTGAAAAGCATTAACCTGCTGGGCTCATCCAACACTACAATTATATAATTATTTGAAGCAAATATTATTTTTGAAAATTCAAATAAAAACAATACAGTGGTTGGCTAGTTTAGTTACTTGACCTACCTCTACAATTAGTTACCTCATTATTGCTATGAAAGTTCAATAAATTTTCATCATATTGGAACAGATTTTGTTACACAATTTTCCAGCATCATATCTCCTGCATGAAGTGAGCTACCTCTGCAGCTCATTTTAGATTTCTAAATTACACTGATCTATTACCAATAAATTAAGAGATCAACAGCTTATGTGGATATTTGCCACAAAAAGATAATGGAGGAATTTCAAGAGTATCATCAGTTATATTTAAAAAATCCTAATATTGTTCATATTGAAAGACTTTAAACTAATTTAAAAAGAAACATCAAAAATGACATCAACACTTCTCATAATAAAAGAAAAATTAAACTTTTGGGTAGATTAGGTCAAAAGACATTAATTTACATAAATTCATTAATTTTAAAATTTTACTTGGTAAAAATAAAACTGCTAAGAACAACATACCTTATTTAAATAGGAAATAGGTGTCCAATATATTTTTCCAATATTTAAAAAACATTTAGGAAAATGAGAAAAATTCAAGTACAGCTGAAGTTGTTTACAGTGTGGAAAAATAAACTATATAGATGAATAAACACGATAGCTAATCTGGTTGTTGGCAATAGAAATACAGAATTATTTATATAGTGCTTGATTCTGAAGTTGCTATATCAAGGGATTCCTTGAGGTGTAGGTAAGTCATGTTTTATCATCCCTACATTAGTGTCCAAGAAAATAAGCTTCAAAGAAGTCAAGTGACTCAAGAAGGTTCACACATCTAGTAAATTATTATACTAGAATCCTAGAACCACAGTCCAGATATTTTAACTCTAACTTCATGGCTCTCCTTTCTCCAGGAACACTATGTATCCCAAAATAGGTTTCCTGAACTGGAGACCTATTTTCCCCACAATGACTGGTCTGTAAACGTGTGTCACTCTGAGATGACGGATTTTGTTATAATGATATTAGGTTAAAAAAGTCATCTTGTGGTCAATAAAAGGTAAGTATAATTTGGATTTTTTTCCCTGAGAGATCAAAAGATCCTGTTATAAGAAGAAAGACAAAAATTTATATTTACCCAATTTATGAAGTATGCCTGGGTAAATTTCACCACTTCTAATGTAACCAACAAGCTGATAGGAATGAGATTGTTGAAAAGGATGATGAAGGTCAAGAAATTCAGTCCAAAATTATTAGCACCGCCATCTGTAGGGAAACGTGAGAAGAATGCTATTGATGGTTTTATGTTTTATTTGCACTGACCACAAATTTAGCATAACAAGAATTTTCCATATCATATAGGTCATCTAGATAATCTGGGAGAAAAGTTTGTTAATAACCCATTCTAATTCTCATATACATCCTTCAAGATTGAATTGTATTATTGTTCAATTGTTGTTAATCTACTTAAGAGCTGCATAACAGTACTAAAAAGTGAAATGACTGTCAAATACCGTAAATTCTGCACTAAGTGTGAAGTTCAGAGATATTAGGCATAGCACTGAAGGGTTTAAAACATCAATTGAGTAAAATCACTTTTATGTGAGTTCTTAAAACCATTTCCAATGTAAAGCATGCTTTAAAAGCAAACAAACAAAACAGCAGCAAAAATGATCCGAGCTGTATGAGAACAATTCAGCCCTAAGTAAATTATTCTCTTAGGTAAATTGCGTTCTATCTTCTCAATAATGAAAATAAAACAGCTATGTCAATACAACTATAAAGTATATGAAGAATTAAGTTGATGGTAGTAGAAGCAATTCTCATGTTGAAATAAATCAATAACTATAAAACCAACTTGGAATAGCTGCCAAGTTAAATAAATTCAATAAAAAACTTTAAACAATCAGTTTTGCTACAGGATTCTGCTATAATTTGTTTTGAAGCTTTTGGAAATTAAGTATTTATTGGTTAATTAGTCACTAAATGGAAATGCAAACTTGCTTCCTAGAAATATACGGGATAGTGCATTAATACCACAATAATAAAAGAATAAATGCTCCAAAGAAAAACTATTTAATAGCACTTTCTCTAGGACAAGATGATAATTTAATGTAGGACTCATTGCATTACTGAGTTCAAATGAAAGTACATTCAGTTTAAACATTTTTAAACAATGTAAACTTTTTGGTGCTTCTACATATGGAGATTTTACAGATTCTAAAATTTTACATGCATTTGCTGAAAATCTCCTAGAAAAATAAAAGACAGAATTCCCAGTTATCTTGGCAACAAGGTCTTTTTAGAAGCAGTAGGAAATTCCACAAAATAAATCCAGATCAATTGTGAAACAAATGAATGCTCTAGTAAAAGAAAAAAAAAAGCACAGCCAGCACTTTATTGCTTACAGTGTAGACTAAGATACCAGTCCTTTCCAGAATGCCTTCGATTCCAAATGGCTGAGCCCACAGAACAGATAAGAGACATGGCGATTAAGATGCAAAATAAAATCAAAATTTGTACATTTGTAATCCGTTCCACATTTGAGAGCTTGAGTGGTGGACTTGTTGAATTCTGTAAAAAGAAATGAGATGAGCAATAAAAAAATGTACACAAACGATTTAGATTTGTTTTCAGTATTTTGATGAGGATTACAAAAGTCACAACTCATTACCTAGCCCTAGGTGGACACATGCACATTATAAAAATCCCATGACATAATATAAGGTATCAATGGTTAACTGCCTCTTTTTTCAAGTTTACTATAGCACCTAAGCCTTTTCTAGGACATAAAATAATAAGGAAGAAGAAAAGGAAATCGCATTACTTTTGCAGACACAGCTTTTGCATTTCGGCAGGTAAGATAAATACTCCATGACGTAAGTAAATAGGGTATTCTAGAAGCATATGGTTGCTGCCTCAGCTCAGAAAGGGAGAGAGAGAAGAAGCCTGTGCAACCACACTGAGACAGCTGGAAATTTCAACATATGCAGGCAACATTGAAAGGATCCCTGATTGCCAAATTTCTGGTGGCATTTAGCAATTATTTTACTAAACACAGCAGCAATTCAAGTAGTCCTAGCTTTAAAGAGTAACAGAGGAAAATGTCCTCAGTTGTAGCTGATGCTTCAAATGGTTATGCTAACCAAGACATCCATAGCACAGAAATTAAATGTCATAATCAATATAAAGTAAAGGTTTACAGACTAGCCAGGGGTGGAGTCACTAATAGGCCCACCTGCCTGTTGATAACATTTTCATGCCTGTACAATGTACCAAGGTATTAGCCCTTAGCACAGATTTTCATTTAGCATCTTTGGATGGACTTAGGAATCAATAATACTGAGTGATCTATCACAGAAACAAAGAAGTGAGTATCACATGTTCTCACTCATAAGTGGACCTTGAACAATTATCATGATACAGTGAGAAAGGGATTGGCAGTAGAGGGAAACTGCCGGGGGTGGGGGGAACACCTCATCAACAAGGGTACCTGCATAATGAACGTATGTATACCTAACCCTGAATTGTACCCCACATCTTTAAAATTAAAAATTAAAAAAAAATGACTGTAATGTTAAGAAGGCACACCCGCAGGTCTATGTAAACAGTAGGGCTAGGATAAAAATTGATAGAAAAACATCCTTACATGTAAATACTATGAAAAAAATGGCCATTTGAGTCACACTTTTTTCTTTAATTTTATAAAAAACTGAAAATAAATTTTATAATTTGATCACTACATTAAAATAAAATTATTAGACAAATACTTCAATGCAGAGCACTCACTGCGACACAGATAACTTCAATAATCACTTCAATAGTTAACAATTGCAAAAAACCCTTGGGAGCACAACAGGTGATATCTGGTGAAACTTTCTGATGTTCCTGTGTGCAGTGAATCATTCTTATAGTGAAGTAATTTCAAGGTCCTACTCACTGGAGTACTAGGCTCTGAATGTAGGGGGTAGGGTCAGGAATCTGCAACAGATGATGTGCTATGCTTGAGGCTACTTAACTGACATTTATAAGTCATACATTTACAAGAGATTTAGGTCCAAAAGGTTTCACAGATAAAAATCCCACCTGCATCAGCTTGGTGTCATGTCCAGTGTAGACAACTATTCCGTGAACCCACTGTGTATTTCTCAACTGAGCACCTCGAAGAAGAATCTGATCAGCTCCCAGTGGAACAGTGCTAGGACAGATTATGTTGACATCAGAATGCTTAAGAACTCTACAGTCACTATACGATTCCAGAAAGTTCTATTATTAAAATAACTTTCTCACATTTAGTTTTGGAAAGCAAGTTATTTCCCCACCAATAAGAATCATCTTCTTAAATAGGAAATACTGAAGGAAGTATTTTATAGGAAAAAAAAGGTCATTTTCTATACTTCACTATCTGCTGTGGACTGAATTGTGTTCTTCCAATACTCCTGTGTTGAAGCTCTTACTCCCAATGTGATGGTATTAGGAGATAGCTTTGGGAAGTTATTTCAGGTTGGAAGAGACCATGAGGGTGGACCTCACGAAGGGGTTAGTGCCCCTATAGGAAGATACACTGGGAGTATGTCCTCTCTTTCTGCCTTGTGAGGATACTGCAAGAAAGCACCTTTACCCAGCAAGGAAGAGGACCCTCACCAGTAACCACTCCCCATGCTGGTATGCTGATCTCAGATGTCCAGCTTCCAGAAAGGTGAGAAAAATAAATTTCTGGTGTTAAAGTCACCTAGTCTATGATATTTTGTTGTGGCATACTGCGCAAACTAGTACGCTATTCGAAATCGTATGTAATGTTTTGGAATTCAGAGGCTAGTTTTCAAACCTATTGATGACTTTTCCTGAGTTGATAAGTCCATTTAGGTTTCTGAAACATTTGGAAGTCATAAGGCGAAGGGGTTTATCCCTCACTCCAATACATACACACACACACACACTCTCTCTCTCTAAATTAAAATAAAAACTAGTTTTATGCATAATAAAAGCTCAAAATACACATACACATGCATACACACACAAAGAGGTAAGACATCCACAGATTTCACCATAAACTTTCATTGCTATCCCTGTCCCCAGGAACAAGTCTTTGTATCTAAAACCTCTCGGACATTCATTTTATAGTATTTGAAGATCAGTTCTCCAAGGATTGTGAATACATTTCCAATAATGATAAGCATTTTAAAGCTATTCATCCCCTATGATTTAAATCTATGGTGGGCTGTTAGGGGATAAAAACTCACACAGGGATATAGAAGGAACAAAACTATTACAGCTATACTGGAGTTCTTGATGGAACATCTGCAACATTTAATGGCTCAAGGGTTCCTATTACCAAGTCTTCATTTTAAAAATAAAAAAAGCAAAAGAAGAAAAATCAAATAGAAAAAAATATTAAAAAAAAACTTTCTGGAGAAGGAAGAAAATTCCACAGGATAAATCTACAGAGAACAAAGAACCTATTTGAAAGTGGAGGCCAAATGAGGCAGACCTTCATTTCTGGGGAGATTCTCTGGTCCAGTAGGTTGTAAGGTCTGTAGCAGTGTGAGCCTTGGACTTTCTTTTAGGAACTATACAAATTCTACTGGCTCAGAGAACATCAATCCAGATGGGTAATTACAGCCTCTGAATAAAACCTTAGGAAATAGTGTGTTCAATGTAGAGAAAGAACAAAAGCAACAACACTTTCATTCTTTATGCACAACAGCATACCCATCTGGAAGGGAACCTCTCCTGTGTCTGTTCCAAGGTTTAGGGTTGCACTTCAGTGTTGGGAGGGGCCTTGGGCCTAAAGGCAGGTTTCCAAGAAGTTCTTGAGAAGCTGCTGGACTATGCTGTGGAGCACTCACATGCCAAATCTTCTCTTACCTCCCCACTGGGGTATAATACAGCTATGGTTGCCACAAGATTTGTGGTGTGAATGGAATGGAATTAGGTACAAACTCTTCAAAAGCAAAGCATACTATTTTTCGGTTACAGGGATTTAAGAAACATTAGTTATCATTAGTTTTCATCACAGTATAGTATTTGTGAATTCCTAGGATTCTGGCATTAGACAATGACCCTTATCCTTAAAAGAATCAAAGTACTCTCATTCCAAAGGGTCTCCAAGAGCTCTGGGTAATCACAGCAAAAGTCAAATGTGCTCCAAATATAAAAATCTTGAAAATCTGTTTCCACCTATCATGTAGAATAAAGCATATTATGTAAATTCTGTCTGTACCCTAAATCTTGGCACCATCATACAAAGTTTTTCTCTCACAGTATAGATGGGCCTGGCATCAATTTGATGGAAAATTGGTAAGAAATGGAAGCTGGCCAGTTAGGAATGTCAGATTACAGAAACACTACTTATATAAATGGACAAATCTATCATTAGTCTATAACCATATGTTCATGGAAAGATCACTCTGTGCAAATTTTAGAGCAACATATAGTTTCTTCAAAGAGTGCGGGAGAGATTTTTGGAGGACCTGAACAAGGATGACACATCAGATGTCCTTTAGAATTTAAAGACTCTAATAATGCAATTACAAAATAACAAAAGCACCAATAATGTCCTGTCAGGCTGGTGAGTTAAACCAGTGGATTTTACTGACATTGAGTTGGCTGCTACACACACATGCCTAGTAGATAAGGTATAACGTAGAGGAAGCAGGGAAAGAGAAGAGGGGAGGAGGAAAGAGAGAAGAGAAGCTGGAAAGACCCCATCCTTCCTGCAGGTTCTGCCTCATTTCTTTGCTTACCTTCGCAACAAAACTCCTTGAAACAGAAGTTTGTACTTGCTATTTTCATCTCCTCTGCTTCCATGGTCTCCAATGTGTCCTTATCAGTCACCACCTGTTCTAATCAAGCTCAATGAGCTCTGCTTGCTAAATCCAACTGCTGTTGCTCAGCCTCACAGTACTGGACCCTTAGCAACATCTGAACAAACTGACCTCAGTTTAGTCACTCCCTCTCGGTCTTTGGAATTTCTTCTCTCTCTCGGTTTCCACCCTAAGAACTTGGTTTCAGTTCCTTTGTCTGGTCCCCCTGCTTTTCTCAACGCTGTAATGTTGGAGAATCTTAGGACAGTCCTTGGGTCTCTTCATCTTTCTGCCTACACTCTTTCATTCTGTGATTTCTTCCAGTCACACGGCTTTAATATCGATGCCAACTACTCTGCAAAATATATCTTGTGAACCTAGATTTCTGCCCCAAACTTCAGATATATATTGAATGCTTCCTAGACATCTCCATTCATACATAACAAACTTACGAAGTCCACAACTGAACTGCTGATCTTTCTCCCTTAAAACCATCCAACACATCCCCATTTCACTCAGAGTAACTGCCTCAAAATAGCTTACAAAACCTTTTATGATCTGGCCCACTATCACCTCTCGGTTCTTCTATTTACTCTCTTCTTTAATCACACCACTCCAACCACCCTGGCCTCTCTAACACTCCACAATGACTCCAGGTACTTTCCATTTTAAGATCATGTAATGATATAACTAATAAACTGTCTGTTTCTTCTTTCTGGAACGCTCTCCCTCCAGATATTAAAATGGCTAACTTCATTACCTTCTACTCATCATTGCTCAAATTTTCTCTCTTCAGTGAGGCTGACTTTGACGACCCTAGCTAAAAGTTATTTTCTCCCAAGGATTACCAACCTTATCCTGTGCTGGTTTTTTTCCCCCAAAGCATTTATCACTTTCTAACATAGTGCAAAATTTCCTTATCATTTCATTGTTTGTCTGTTTGTCCTTCCCTTACCACAAGAAAGTGTTATGGTCTGAATGTTTGCATACCCTCCAAATTCATGTGTTGAAACTTTATCCAATGTAGTGGTATCATCAGGAGGTGGGGTCTTTTGGAGGTGATTAGGTGAAGAGCTCCACCTTTGTGAATAAAACTCATTCCCTTATAAAAGAAGCCTAAGGGTCTCTGCTATGCAAAGATGCGTAATAGGCACCATCTATGAGGAATGGGCCTTTATCAGACACCCAATCTGCTGGTGCCTGATTTTGGGCTCCCAAGCCTCCAGAACTGTGAGTGTCACATTTCTGTTGCTTATAAATTACCCAGTCTAAGATATTGTGTTATAGAGGCCTGAATGAACTAAGACTTGAGGGCAAAAATATTTATCTGCTTTGATCAATGCTGCCTCTTTAACAATTATAACTGGTCTAGCTTGCAAGGTGCTTAAAAAGTACTGGTTGATAAATGAGAGAATAGGTAGGAAAGGGGAGAGAAGAAGGGCAGGAAGCAGGTATCAATAAAGATGACTACACTGATAACACAGCCTAGAAAAGGGAATATGAAATTACACACGGAAGGAGACAAGAAATTGTCCAGTACATTGAACCCTTTGAGGGTAGAGTCTGAACTGCCAGAGGCATCTAGAGGTCACAGGAAAGAACCTAGGCCATGAAGATTGGATAGTTAAGCCTTGTAATACAAAGAATAAGCCATGGGTTATTTACCCATCAAACAATGTTCCAGAGGCCCGAAAAATTCCTAAAAACATCCAACTGCCAGATCAGCAGGAATCCTGAGGAAGTCTTCAGCTATTCCACATCAATAAGATTAAGATTCAGTATTTTCACAAAAGGATTTGGGGTAGAATGTTTTAAAAATCCTTTGAAAAAGGGTTTTGAGTATTCAAACTTAGCAAACAAGAAAATAACGTGTATCCAGACTTGGAAGACACTCAGCAATACACTATGACACAGTGGATTCCATGTTTTTATGAAGAATGACTTTACATACCCATGTCCATTCAGCCTTATGTTTCCAACAAAATCATAGAGATGTCTGTTTGGGCTTTCACACTCAATTCTGCCAGAAATCCTCATCAAACTGTCAATGTCTTTGATATCCGAGGTTGCTGGTAAGCCCTGTTTAGAAATTTTTAAATAAGCAAAGAGTACATTAAATGAGCTGTATCAGGAGAAGAGGAATTCTGAATTCATCCAGGTCTTAAGCTATAAGGAATATCATTATTTTATAGGCAATTCTTCCCTCTCCACTTAAACAATACTTCTTCTGACAAGTCATCATTAAGGGAGGTCTTCTTTCCTGACTTGAGCACAGGTTTTTTAGCACAAGAACAGAACAGCTTTTATAGAAATTCTAAAATATATTTAAGAGACTATACACTAGTCTGCAAAGACATTCTGAAGTCCCTAAAGGACCATTTGCTTCCAAAAATACATTAATATTTAGCACTATAGAGTATGGGTCTGTCTTCAGAATCTAAAAAAAAAGGGGGGAGGAGGATGAAAATGGATGAATGGAATCTATGTTCAAAAAGATTAGCTTCATTTCTCATTTTTTCCTCCCACCACTCAGAAGGGAAACTCCAAAACAGTTCTTCTCTGGTCAATTAGAAGTGACTGCCATTGAACACAACCTCTTGTCTTGCTGCTGTCTGAGTCCAAGTTTTCTATGAGGATCTAGTTCCACCACATCTCAACACTCCCACCTTCTACAATTTTAAAGTCCCTTTAATAATCTTAGTTACATTCTGCTAGGGGTAGTATGAAAAGCAAATACAGAAATCTAACCTATTCTCCCAGATGAGTGAGAGTGTTAGAACAGCAATGGAAAGTGTGGCTTTTTATTATGGCAAAGCCACATAATAACTGGGGCCAGGTGAATAGGGGGGGAAAAAAGTGAACATACATCAAAACCTGAGAACCTCTACTATTGTCTGAGTGGCAGCCATTACATAAGATAATTAAAGTGTTACAAGTAACATCTATATGATGGACTGTGTTTAATCAGGCTAGTATATCTGAGTCTTCCATCATACGTAACAATACCAGTGTATAACACATCTTCATAATGGTTTAATAAGAACATATTAGCAATTAGACAGAACTAGTTCAACTCAAGACAATAATGTGAAGAAAAAAGCTTTTAATTCCATGTAATAAAACATCAATGCTAACCTGTAAACCTGTATTAGATCTTACCTGTCTAATTTTCAAGTTTGTTTCACCATCTAAGTTGGATGTTTCTATGTAGCACATGGCCTGGGGCTCACTGTAGTTCAGAGTTGAGAAGAACAAAGATTTAGTGGGAGAAGAAGGAAAGCATAATAATAGCAACTTACTTAAGTGCTCAAACTTACTGAAGCCTTTCATTCTAAACACGGCTATAGTAACCCGTTTCTTGATGACTTTCATTCTGATGGCAAGACCCTGTGAGGCAGAACTCATGCACTACAATTAACGGATCAGCTTTTCAGCCAGAAGGACCCAAAAGCAGTTTCCTGACAACCATCAGTCATGGTCTTCAAGATAATACCAAGATTTGTCACATTATATTTAAATTGTTCACCCATATAGGCACAACACAGACCGAATCTGAAATGTAAAGTGGTTTTGTGTCCAGATTTATCTTTTGCTCAAAGACATCAAGTGAGATTCCATGCTCATGGCACACATGTAAATTGATTAAGAAAAGTGGTTGATTAGAAAATTCCAGATTGCTACTTCTACAAACTTGTGTTTACTATCTATTTAGCTATGATGAATAGGATTATATCAGTCATAATATTAAAGTGTTAAGGTTACTTTTAAAAACAGTATGATCAAAGTGTACAGTGTAAGTGGATACACATCTTCTCCCTGCTTCCTGCTCTTGTTCTTACGGTTTTTTAAAGTTGCTGGAGAGATTCTCGTACTATAATAGCAAAAGCTAAAATTCAAATCAGTCACCTAGGCCATGTTACTCCTTGACCCGAACCTAGAGGACACAATTCATGGGCCCCCTCCAGAGTGTTTTAGTAAAATCTGGTGTGCAGTGGCTGGCATAAGGGATCAGTGTCTTCCAATTTTATTACAGTATCACATACTGGACTGTCTGTATCTTTGCCCTTCACATGCTTTGTTTGCCTAGCACCTATAGGCATGTGAGTTTGCAGCCTAACTGTATAATCTGGTCCTCAATTCTAAGAAAAAAAGCATTTTGAAGATAAATCAATTTTTCATTAGCACTTGGTTATATAATAAACCCAATTTACTAACATCATAGAAAGAACTATGAATGTAATTCCGATTAGCATGTTTATACAAAGCTAGAAAAGAAATAATTGTGTAAGTCACAAACACCTGGAATTTTCAAATCAACTTCCAATTTGTACATGTGCAAAACAGGCTATTCCAAGTTTCAAAAATGGGCATTTAGCTTAACTTTGCAGCCCGAATATTTGCGACAATTGCTTAAACCCATGGACATTAATTAACTATTTTACAGATTCATTTTAAAGTAACTTTGCAAGTTCCTCAACTTACTCTATGGGCTTTCTTTCATAAAGGCTGCTATGGTTTCCCCCAAAAGAAGTCTTTTAATATTTATATTTTCACTCTATCAATTATTCCAAATTTTGGTTTTTTAATCACTGCCACAATTTGGTTCTGGCAATTGCTCCAAATTTATAAATTTACTTGTATATACATTTGAAATTTATGAATTTATAAAATATATCTTCCGATAATATAAAAGCATGATGACAAACAAGATGCTAAATGACAATGTGGATTCCATATTCTGGCAGCAAAATGCATAAAATTTTACTGTTCAACATACTTATCCAAGACCAGTCTCATGTTTAAATGAGAATAACAAACTAATTCTACTTTTTTTTCCCTCATAAAGCAACTTTTCTAGTACTTTAATTGGCTAGGAAGTTAGGAAGTCTAAATGGCGGACTTTTATTTGAAGTGGGGCAAATGGGACACGATAGCTTGAGGACAGCTGTGACTGAAGCAATTCTTAACAGTGCTTAGGAAAGGCAGAAAGAAGCCTCAGAGAAGGCATCATGCTAGATCATAAATACTTCAGCAAATTATGATGACATCCAAAACACAAACTAGTCAGAGACGCAAAGCAGGCTTTTTGATTAGTAAGTGGAAAAAAATGAAACAAGATGCATATCACAATACAGACACTAGTGGACAGCTGAAATTTATCACAGTAACGTGCACTTTTTCACTAGTTACAAGTGGGATAGAAATTAATCCCAAAGCATGCGATACAAAATGTACAACGTCCAGTTTTGTGCAGGGGGTCCTCTATAAACCCTATTCAAGCCCAAATTATAGTCATGATTTCTGGAAGGATCCTATAAAAACTTACAGAAAATTTAAAATATGGGAATAAGGCAAATATGTTTTAAATCTAATCAATTTCCAATGACTGTTTCATGAGAAGCTTAACATTGTTTAAAACAATATCCTGAAGAGGAAATACATTAAGCCTTAGCATCAGGCATGTTGTTAAATATTAGTGTCTATTACAGAAACATAAGAAAGGGAAACCTATATTTACAGGTATGCCTCTTGGACTCCTATTAATAACAACAGGAGTTGAATTTGCGCCATTGAGGGACAAACATCATCCAACATGATATTCACAAAATGCCTTTAAAACATCGGGGAAATGTTCATCACTAAGAAGCATAAAAAAGTTAGTGTTTTAAAGGAAGAGAAACAGAACTCAATCATATTTGGGTGCAACTGTTCTCTGGTTTAGGGTGAGGACCCACATACACACATCCTGTACAGCTCCGTGGTTCTAACCTTGAGGACAGACTGATGAGGTCTGCTGGGAGGTGTTCCCCATTGGCCACTTTCACTATCTCCCCTACTGCCACCTACATGTCCCAGTTAAAAATAATTAAAATGGAAAAAAAAATGAATAACAGAGAAAAAACAAATGGACAAAAGAGACAGAGAGTTTGAAATTATTATAGAAAATAATACATGTTAATAAAAATGTCTAATGCCAATTTTTTTCAAAACTTATTTTGATCAGGTCTCAAAACTTAAGAAAATTTTTACGGATTTCTTATTTGATTTTAAGCACAATTTTCTATTTTTAATGTGAAAACTTTTTATTTTTAAAGTTTACTCATAAGTTGATCTTAACAATTAAATGAAGGCATATTTTATAGAGAGCTACTTTATTGCCTAGATTTTCTCTTCTCCAATTCCTCAACCTCATATCATCCACTGTATGTCCACTCCTATCCAAAAAGGACAGAATTGTGAAAATTAATTTTTAGGTTTTTGTAAAAGAAAGTGGACTATAACTAGTCCTTCTCCTCCATACATTAAACAAATAAATTTGCTAAAAATGTTCTGATTCCAAAACATTTTCTAAGATAATCACACAAATATCTTATTAATTTTATGCAAAGCTGCAAAGACATGGATCTTAGGAGGTCAGAAGACATAATTGCAGCCTTTTGAGTTATTTAATAAAGTATAGGTAGTATATTCTTTTGGGAGGATAAGTCATTGAGTTTAAAGAAAATTTTTTAGAGAGGGTATGAAATAGACATGTTAATAATCTGTTTGGACTGGCACTAGTAGCTTGAGTTATTTTGTCCTATTTTATGCTTTCTTAACACATAAGCTCTTAGTCATTTAATAAATACTAAAATTTCAGTTTCTTTATTTCCAAATGAAAGTCAATGAAATAGTAACTGGCAACCATGTCCATGCTTTAATCTCAAACTATCTCACAGAAGATGCACTATTGGTAATTAACAAATGAAAAATAGAAAATTAATAGTTCAGCATATATGATGCTCTCTATGATAATGTCTTGCTGAAGAGTTTAATCAGGAAAATATCAATACCTCCTTAAACTGCTAGGTTTTACTATCATTTTAAACTTTCTTACACAAATACAGTAATGTATCACTTAATGACAGGGATATGTTCTGGAAAATGATTGTTAGGCAGTTTTGTCATTATGCAAACATCATAGAGTATACCAATACAAACCTAGATAATACACCTTGGCAACATGGTATAGCCGATTGTTCCTGGGCTACCAAACTGGACAGCATGTTACTGTACTAAATAGTGTAAGGAACAATAACACAATGGTAAATATTTGTGCAACAGGAATTTTCATCTCCTTTACAATCTTATGGGACCACCTTTGTATATGTGGTTACCCATTGACCAAAATGTTAGGTGGCATGTGACTGTACAGCATTTAGAAGGCCAATCATCCAATACATTTATCAAACCTTTTGCTTAGTGCCACTAAATGCACATCATTCTGTTAGGCACTCTTAAAGCTTATCAATTTAAACAAAAAGAACTGGAAAATAGTAGAATTTGATATTTGATCCCACTTCCTCTGTGCAAGAGAAGTGAGATCAAGGCCTGAGAGATTAAGTCTTTGTTCCGAATCACCAAGCCAGAATTAGAATTCTGGTTTTCTGCTCCTAAGTAGAGCTCATTCTAGAGCCTGATGCTACCCAGAATCAGAAACAAATGATTATAAGCTTTCCCTCAAAGTCACTCCCCCTCACGGCCAAATGTGGACAGTCAGCTTTACTTTAGTTTTAGAAATTTATCCTGATAAAGTTATAAACAAAGGAAGCTAAAAACAGGAAGGCTGATTTTTAAACATCAGTATTATTTTTTTCTGAAAACAAAAACCTACAGGTACATGACACAAAAAAAAGAAGCCAATAATAAATGGAAATATAAATACTGTATTTACTTTGGCTGCTTGTGGACTTACTTCTGTAAGTATCAAGATAACTCTTACTTGCTCAATTAAGTTTCACTAACTTGCTGTGAATTCAATCACTTTAAATGATGACCTGATTAAATAGATTTTGAAAAAAGGGCACCGTCCATATTTATATGTGGATTTTACAAATAAAACTGTCCAAGGAAATGATGATAAACAACCTCTAAAATGTTAAAAACATTTCTTCTTAATTTATAACAGCACTAGTTTTATTGTTTTTAATCCGAAAGTCATTTGAAAGTCACATTCTTTAGGGGATAACAGTGCCATATGTTCTAATTCATGACCACCTTAAATATGAGTACGACAAATTATATAAATTAAGTAACAGAAAGAACTTAAATGAAAGAACAAATCGCTTTTTTTGTTGTTATTGGAAAAGTATGGCATTTCAAAAGGTACGATGACAAAAAAGAAATCATTCATCCATTTTTTTGTACCATTTCACCATAATGATCAAGAAACTTTGCAGAGATTTATAATGAACAAGGATTGAAAAATAAAATCAACAGAACCCAATCCATGTATTATATCAAATAAATGACAGGAGTTCTTAAAAGAGTTGGCGATCCACACAAAAGGATCTGGATATAGCCAGAAGGAGAGTAGACTCTTAATTGCAACTTTGAATTATAAAGTACAGTACCTCTCACTTATTCTATATGGCAAACATGAAAGAGCCCTTTAGGTCCAATCAACCTTTTAAATGCTTAAATAAAAATAATGAGAGAGGTTTAAAATTCTTCGTTTATTCTTTATTTCCTTGGAGAAATCACAAGATCAATGCAGGGTAGAGACCCGTCCTCTACACTGTTTGAGCATCAGTAGGTATCTCTACCTTGATGAGAGAAGTACAGTGTCAGCAGGTATATACTCTTTGCCTTTTATTATAACTATATCTCCAACATTTACCTGAAAGAAAACTGGGAATTGGTTAATTATCTGCATTGAAATATAGTTACAAATATACAACCCATTGAATTAAAGCACAGCATACAATAAAAAGAACCTGGTTACTGGCGAACAAGAACCACTTATCTTCACACAATGGAAGAAAATTATCTAGGAGTGTCGCCAGGGTTGGGAGAATCCCTTTAGAAAATGAACATTGTGTCTTTACCTTATCAGCTGTATATCTTATCTTGATAAGATAATCTATGTATTCTATCCACTTAATTGACATCTCAACTTCTCCCCTCTTTGACATAAAAATAAAAAGGAGGAATTTACCAGTTGAAACCTTTATTTGGAGAAGTCGTAATACAACTGGAGAAACTGTCATATGCAAAGGCCCTTATGAAATAAATATCAGTTATATTCACCATTTATAGAGGTAGAAAACAAGTCTCTGACTCTAAGTTACTGTTCAAAGTTACAGTGAGCAGAAGAGCCTACACTCAAACCTACATCTGACCATCTGCAAAGCTTCATTTTTCATTAAGTAAATTTGGTAAAACTATCATAGTATTTTAAATTAAAAATAAACTGCTTAATTTCTTTCCTTCACTACCTGTGGATATTTTTCTGAGCATGGTGTAGAGACAAATTAAAGACACATGATGGCCAGAAACTGTTAGAAGTAATTTAAGTGACAGGTTTGTCATATAGCTTTTGGTAAATGACACAACTCCAGTGAAGCAACAACATGGCTTCACTGAGTTGAGAATGACTGACAGCTATGCTTTTTATATCATGAATGTTGATCTTTCTCTTAGTAGACCAGTGAACCTAAAAAATAAGTTTCAATACCTAACAGACAGAAGAAAAGCCCTTTTTACTAAAGTCTTTTTGTTCTTCCCTCTCCCAACTTATTCTTGAACTCTAAAATAACACTACTAGAAGAAAGGAGAGGAGAGTGTCCTTAGTGGGAAACACAAAGAAATGATCTAACAGGAAGCCCACTGTGTTCTGTTTTATATAGTGGGAAGAACAGGTTAGGGAAGGCTGGGGCAAGGGTGTTGTCTTTTTTTTTTTTTTGAGTTGGAGTCTCAGTCTGTCGCCCAGACTGGAGTGCAGTGGCCGTTCCCGGCCACCGCAGCCTCGACCTGCTGGGCTCTGGCGATCCTTCCGCCTCAGCCTTCCAAGTAGCTGGAACTACAGGCGTGCGCTACCATGCCCAGCTGATTTTTTTTTTGATTTATTGTAGAGATGAGGTCTCACTGCCCAGGCGGGTCTCGAACCCGCAGGCTCAGGCAATCCACTCACCTCAGCCTCCCAAAGGTGCGGGATTACAGGCTGAGCCACCGGCTATGAAAGGTATGTTGGTTACCGAGGTTAGAAAGTTCAGGATGCCTCGATTCTAAAGGAGTTATTTCAGCTGAAACCTGAAATTTTTTGACTATTTGAAATGAACAAATTACCAGGAATCATGGAGTCAAACAGCCTCTACTTCAAAAAAGGGCAAACAGGAAAAATAAAAAAATCTGCCAGTATAAAAGCACACTGGTCATTAAAATAATGTGCTGTAATAGTTCTGTGATAGTATCCCTAATGGCAAGATAATAAAATATAAGCTCTCTGTAATCATGGCACTTAGAGAGAATTCCACCCAGGTTACCATTTAATTGTTCTTCAGTTGCCTCCAGTGTGCTAATGTTTTCTTTCCATTTAAACTAATATATGCTTTATAAGATTAGAACCACATCTGTCCTACATTATAGAGTTAGATCAACAGTTAGACTTACACTGCTTTCCAATATCTTTAATCATTTTAAGACAAAAGAAGTGCTTGTGGTTATTCAACTCAAGAAAATAGTGAAATCTTCTATGATATTTGTAGTTACTCCAATGGCCAGGGAAAATCAAGGGCTCATACCAAGTGCTCAAGTCCTGACCAAAGCATGCTAAATGAATACTAAAGGTCATTGCTGCGAGGAAAGCAGGGAACTTTACTCCTTAGAATGCCTGGGTTTCAGATTAATTTCTCAAAAGACATCCAAGCATCTCTTTCCTTCTGGTTTCTGAGTTCCTAATATGGCATCCCCTCCTCCAGCCTGGTGTGTGCATAGGAGGGACAGGGAGAAAAAAGCCAAGATGGCCAGGTGTGGTGGCTCACACTTGTAATCCCAGCACTTTGGGAGGCTGAGGCAGGAGGATAACTTGAACGGAGTTTGGGACCAGCCTGGGCAACATAGTAAGATACTGTCTCTACAAAAAATAGAACCATTAGCCAAGTGTGGTGGTGTGCACCTGTAGTCTCAGTTACTCGAGAGGCTGAGGCAGGAAGATCACTTGAGTCTAGGAGTTTGAGGCTGTATGGTGAGCCATGATCGTGCCATGGCGAGCCAGCCTGGGCAATACAGTGAGACCCCGTCTCACAAAAAAAAAAAAGAAAAAGAAAAAAAGGAAAGAAAAAGTCAAGATGGAAAGGATGCTTTGATCATGTATTCTAATCCAAAGAATCTTGTGATAAAGCAGTTTTAGTCCCCACAATACGGAGATAAGGAAATATTCAAGGCTTTCAGTCTACTACCTTGAGACTTCTCGAGGCACTGATGTTAGCAACTCTGATTGAGATTATGTAAAATAGTAGATTATCAAACTGCGATTGATTAAAAAACCCAGCTATTTTTTGTCCAATTCTAGGTCTCAGTGTATTTCTATATTTATTAAGCGATTTTTGGAGATACAAAGTCTTAATCCAAAGAAATGCATTTCATGGTGGACTCTATGCATTAAAGCAGTCAGAGAAACTTTCACACATGCATACAGCCCCCCAGCCACACTTCCCTACTACATCAGAACATGTTGATTTCTTCATCTAAACGTTCCACCTGCATCTATCTCAAAAACCTGTGAACAGTCTCTGCTGCTTCTCTATGTGAAGAAATGATCTTTGAGTTGAGGGCAGTGGTACCAGCTGTTTACATTTCAGGAGTGGTGAAGGGTTGGGTTCTGTAATTGCAATACTTTCTTTTAAAACCAGATATTTGTACCTTAACCTTTTGGAACAGGGAAAGGCTTTAGGGCAGTGAAGAGATGAACTATTAATGTTGTAGAGCTGAAGTCTGCCCATCTGTGAATGACTAGATGTATGCTGGGCCAATTTGTTGGTCCTCTGAGGACCATTAAAAAGCAACCACAGCAGCCACACATCTAGAAAGGCAGAGAAGAAAAGAACCCTGGCATAAACCCCACTTCCACTAAGGTCTATCATATTACCTGGGCATGTAGATGACACTCTGGGTTTTGGTGTATTGATTTCATTTTTAATTGCACAAACAGAAAAGGCTTCTTTTATGCCACTCCACTTGTTCAATAGTTCATCTTTACATAGCTGGTTCCTCAGCAGACAGGGTCCTGTTGTTTTCACCTATGATTATGTTTTATGGCAAAGGAAACTTTATGTGTCTTGCTTGCTGCTGTGAGCTTACTGCTTGGCATATACACTCAATAAATATTTGTTGAATAAATAGTATAAATTTTTTATGTTGCCACATCATGTGAAATTATGCGTTTTACTTATCACAAAACATACAAGTGTGTAGAATGCAGTGATTTATTTATAGAACACTTTATTGTTGTATATTCATGTGTGTTACTTTTTCACTATTGTAGACAATGCTACAATAAAGATGTTTTTCCATGTAGAGATATTCTACTACTTTACAATTCTTTTCTTGGGATGAATTCTAAGGATCTCCCTTTTATGGTTCTCAATATGAATAGCCAAACTGCTAATCCACAATAGCATGCGAATAAAATATTTCTTAAATATAAAAATTATGAAATACAAGTGAGTTTGTTTTTATTTATTAACTAGATAGCAAAGGTATCTGTGGCCTACCACCCTGAATGTGCCAGATCTCGTCTGGATAGCAAATGAGACTTCAATATTGCTTTAATTTGCAACTTTTATTATTAGGTTGAAACTGTACTAATTCTGGTTGGTTATTTTTTTGGGTTATTGCCAACTTTTATTTCCTATTTATATAACAATGATCATAGTTTTTTGTCATATTTGGTGCAAATACTTTACATCCCTGCCTACTGATTTGTGGTAGTTTTTGTTGTGTGTTAATTTTAAAATTTATATAATCAAATTCCATAGAACTTGAGATACTGTTCTTTTTTGCCGTCTTCATCAAATAGTAATTGGGCTGTATTTCAGGGAACCAGATTCTATTCCATATATTTCCATCTATTCCACGCTATTCTACTCATCAATGTCTATTTTTGCAACCAACCCACAATGTTTTAATAACTTCTGATTTCCATTTGACTTCTAGTTAATCTTTGCATACTGTTCATTTTTCTAAAATAATCTATTTCTTGTTTATTTGTGAAGATCAGGTTAATAATTTAGTTGATTCTTGAGGAAAAAGGGATAATTTTCCTGTGATTGTGTTGCATTAATAATTTGGAACAACTGATATTTCATTTTTCTAGAAATATGACATTTTCGTACATTTACATGAATCTTTAACACCTAAAGTTTGGATGCTTTCTTTACAAAGGTCATACACATATTTTAGGTTTATTTGTAAGCATCCAATATGCCACCAGGAATAAGATATCTTTTTCACTTTATTTTCTAACTTTATATTGCAAACATAAGAACACTGTTAATTTTTGAATATTTATATTGAATTAATCACTGAACCAACTTTTATTAATCCTAATTAACTATCCTATTTATTAAATAACTTTGCCTCTTTTGACTGAATGACTTTTGACAGTACTTTAAAATTCTATCCCTTCCTATCTCAAAATGGGATGGTTAGGTGTGGCATTAGTCTCCATGATGAATGAAAATGCTAGCATTATGGATAATCATGACTAGGGATTTAATTTTTTTAATCTGTCAAAAATAGAAAAAGTAAAAGTTACAATAATCCAGATAGATTAGTAACATCTTGAAATAGTGATTGTTTACTAGGAAAGTAAGACATTTAAAAGATTAACTTTAGAGTGAAGTAGTAGATGACTTTATAGCTGTTTTTAATTTTTGAAAAAGCAACCTAGGTAAGAAGATATAAAATTGACACATCAATTTGTTAGAATGTGTATTTATGTTAACCACACTAACAGCCCTAGGTAAATAATGTATAATAAAATTCAATTTGTCATACTTGATTATGTCCTGTCTTCTCTCTAAAATGTTTAAATCTGTAAGTGCCATACAAGAGCATGAAAGAAACTTATTTTGGAACTGTTTTTGGCGTTTTTTTGTTTTGTACTCTGCTCTTCTGAATGAGAGATAACTATCACAGAAATATGAACAGCACCATCAAGGTATTTTCCTCTTTGTTGTTCTTATGTCAAAGACCAAAGAAAGGAGAGTGGTGAATTTTCAACTTTCTGGAAGAGAAGATGTCAGTCTCTATTCCATTCACCGATTTAAAATCAACAAAGATGCAATTAATTTTTTATAGTGAGGGGTACAAGGTATACCCTGCAGGAATACATGGTGACCATGAATATCAGTAGGTACCAAGGACATAGACTTAAACCAACTGGGAAACACTGGAGTGCACATACACCGACTGTGGGTTATACTCCTATTATCCTAGCAAGATACTGTCCTCTGATAAACATTTCTAGTGTCCTAGTCCCCTAGGTAGAGTGGACTGGCCTCCAAAAAGTCTTTTGCCAAATTACAAATGCTATTCATTTGTGGAGACTGGAGATTAAATCTTCTTCCAGAACTAAGGAAGAACTAATAAGAATTGCTTACCTTTTGAAAGTGAGTTCTGAAAAGAATCAACATCTGAATAACATTACATCATGACTCAATTCCATAACTGCCATGCTAGAGGTCTTCTGAGCAAATTAACCTCGGATGTTATGGAACTGATTTCCAGTTCGTTAGAAGATGTTAATTTGTAAGACTTTTGTTTTAAAGCAATCAGCAGTATGCAAAAGTGATTAGTCTTAATATATGAATTTAAGGTAAAGTATCAGAACTTAAAAGCTTGTATTTTTACTTGGACAATAGATGATTAAAGCAAAAAATTACAACATAAAACAGTTCATGATTTAAAAAAATCTATAAAAACTACTCAAAATATACTATGAAAGAAACAAAAAATTCCAGATATTATTTTTCAAGATACTAGAATTTTTCTATTTGTAAAATTATTCTATTTTTCTAAAATATTACAGAAATATTAAATGGATATGACTACCTGTATGTTTACATTAAGAACAGCTTTCACATTCGTGAAATTCTTGACTTTTGCTTATATTATAAGCAACAATTATATTTACTAGAGGACAACTCTAAGCATTTCTTCTCCTGAAACAGAGTAAAAATCAGTGCATACCTTTTCCCAGTGAACAATTTCCCAAGCACCATTTCTCAAAACTGGAAAGAAAGAAGGTGACATTTTAAAGAACATTTTTTACTAACTATGAAAAGCCTATTTCTGGTGAAATGATCACTTTAAATGAATAGCTTCAAATAAAATAACTAGTAGCAATTTTTACTTCAAATAAAATAACTAGTAGCAATTTTTAAAAAAACTAATGCTGATAGCAAGAATATGTAAAATTAAAGAATTAGAACAACTGATGTGCATTTTAGTTCCCACAGTTAATATACCAGTAGCAGAGGACAATCTTGTTGGTGTTACCAAGGGATACCAACATAGAAGAATAACTAGGCTCCATGGGAGGAAAAAGTCACAAAATGATGTGAAAAGTGACGTGAAAAACTTAAAACATTTCAGGTGCCACAACAGCAGCATTTTTTTTTTTTTAAAGATTCATGGGCACAGAAGTCATTGATTTAGAATAGGTTAGTACAAATGTAACACAAAAACCAACAGATAAAGAATCCCCACCTTTAGGTTTATAATAATGCAAAAAAAATTTTTCTCAGTTTGGTATACCGAGAATGTGAAAGAAGAGAGTACTATTAGGACACAGAAGGATAGAAATTTCTTAGTTGTTTCACTAATGCTTCACAATAGTAAAGTTACTCACTACTCATTAACTACACACTCAAAGGTCTTGAAACCAGCATTACAGTATAAACTATTTTAATCTAAATATTATCATTTTGTGTTTCAAAATTCCCTGAACACAGGGGTTGTGTCTTAACCTTGTCTTTGCTTCTTGTATCTTGCAGCACTCCTGGCACAGAAGATATTCACAAAGACATTGCAAATCTATAGAAATCTATTAAGCTTTTGAAATATGACCTTATCATCCTGTAAGTTTGTTAAACAAATTATTCATTTGTAAAACAAATTTGTTAAACAGATCATTCATTTGTAAAACAGATGAGTAAATTCAACAATGCATACCTTACAAATGAACAATTGCAGTGATGCATACTTTAGACTCACAAACGAATGAAGTAGATTTCATTTTGGTAAATCTACTTTGTTAATTTAAAAAATAATAGCAATTCCAAGTTGAAAAGATAAAACTAAAGTATTTTCCAGTACACTGTCTCAACTGATTGAATAAACTAAAGTTCCCAGTTTTATAGGACTCAATGAACTGGGGGCCAAGGATCTAAACAATAGGCATCTAAAATTGACCACTGTATCCTAATACACACAACAAATGCCTGTAGAGTTCACCCAAATTGATCCCAGGAGTTAAATTTCTTTCCTGCTCATGGAGAAGCAGGGAAAAGAAAGAGCCTCTGGCAAACAAACAAACAAAAAACCCCTAAAAACAACAAAACAAAGAAAAAAAAGGGGTGCTATCTCTGCTAAAGTTCAACAGTATTGCTCAAACCAGTTGTTAGGAAGAATAAAGAATAAGTGAGCGCATGCTTCTCTTTAATCTCTTAACCCAGTGGCTAAAATATAATGAGAACTCAACAAAAAGTCCTGTTCAAATAAGCTAAACCCAAGACTGACACTGGGTGACTGGGCTGAAAGCATGCATTAATTCAAATTAGAAAAATCTGTTCAATAGTATCTGGAGTTCTTTATTGCCATTTGCTTCCTTCCTTCTGATCTGATTTCATATTAGTATACATTCTCTTAATTGCAATAGTTTTAAAAAAATCAGTGTGCAATATTTCTAAAATGAAGAGATTTGACATGAAAATTAAGACTTCAGGTTAGATAGGATGAATCAGTTCTGGAGATCTATTGTACAGCATGGTAACTACAGTTAACACATTGCATACTTGAACATTATAGAGAGAATGGATCATAAAGGTTCTCACCACAAAAAAAGATAATGTGTGTGAGGTGATGGATATGTTAATTAGCTTCACAAGATATGTATACATATATAAAAAACTTACACTGTATGTCGTAAACATAATTTTTATTTGTCAAAAAGAATGGCATCAATGATTATAACATATTAAATAATAAAAAAGAATTTATTAGAAAAAGAAAAGAAAGAATGAGAGAAAGGAAAGAAGAAAGAAAGAAGGAAAGAAAGAAGAAAGGAAGGAAGGAAGGAAGGAAGGAAGGAAGGAAGGAAGGTCGGGGAGAGAGGGAGGAAGAGACTAATTAAGTCTTCATGACTGTCTGAAAAGTTCACAAGGTCAGGTAACTTTAGGGCCACTTCCTGCACAATGACTTGGCTGGGAACGTGCAGTGAACACCCTGTTGTATGGGGCTCACCAGTCGACCGCCACACTCATGGTTTCCTGCTGCCTTATACCCAGTGTGCGCCCCTTGTTTAGGGCACCTGCCTGGCTCATTTTCATGAGGATTTTTGTTTTCAGTTGAAGTATAACTCAAAGCAAAATGAACAGATCTTAAGTTCAATGAGTTTTCAGAATTATAAACACCTTTGTATCCACGATTCAGAGAAAGATACAGAACTCCAGAAAGACCCCTTCTGTTCGTTTACAATCTATCCTTCTATCCCTTAGAGCCAAAAATAAATTTGTCACCACAGTGTAGTCTTGCATTTCATAAACATGGAATAATAGGGTATATATTTCTGTATTGCTCTTTTAATCAACATATCTGAGATTCTGTTCAAAAGATTTTTCTTTTCCGATTAAACCAGCACAGCACTATAATGGACTGATTTCTGGATTCTGTATATATTCCATCAATTAAGCTGCACTATCCACCATCTTGATTATTGTAACTTTATGGCAAGTCTTGAAATTAGGTAGTGTGAGTTCTCCAACTCTATTCTTCATCAGTATTGTTTTGGCTATGCTAAGTCCTTTGCATTTCCATATAAACTTTATAATCAAGCTACCAATTCTTAAGAAAACATACAGAAAACCTCTTGGAATTGGATTTGAGGCTCAAGTCTTTCAAATCATAGACAAGTTATGTTTCTCCATTTATTTATGTCTCCGTTGATTTTTTTTCTCAGATATGTTTCATAGTTTTCAATGAATGGGTTTTTAATCATTAGGCTTACTTCTTAAAATTTATTTATTTTTCTTAATATTATAAATGGTATTTAAAAATTCCATTTTCCAATTGGTCATTGGTAGTATATAGAAATGCATTAAACTTTTGTATAATGACCTTGTCATCCTGTGAATTTGTTAAATTGACTTATTAGTCTGGGTATGGTTTCTTTCAACTGCTTTGTTGTATTTGTAGCAATGCTTTCTGAGCAACTTAATTTCTCTTTGTTAGCAATACTTTAAATGATTTGTGGAAGTTTTATTATGTGCATGTGCTTCACTGTTCATCTATTTTTAAACTCTTCTGCTGTTATACAAAAATGTCTCTAAAAATCTGGAATAATTTTTACTACTAAAAATGTCCTGTTGATTTTACACCCTAAGCATCTCCAAATTGGCCAATATTTTACAATCTCTTCCACCAGCACCCCAAGTTCAAGCAACCATCCCCCCGCCCAAGTGGAGGTGTGTATTAGCCTCACCACTAGTTTCTTGCATTCATTCTTGATCTCTTTCTAATTCAATTTCTATAGTACAGCTATAATGACTATATATCATGATTTTACATACATGTAAAATGTACATATTATATATATATCAGTCAATACTTATATATTATTATATATACCAATCACTAATTACATATTTCATATCAACCAATGACATATTATAAATCAATGTCGATTGTATATCAATCTATATATTAATTCATCAATTTAGCAATCAATTATGTATCATATATAAACATCAATTATATATCAGTCAATATTATATATTGATTAATCAATATATCAACCAATAATTACGTATCATAATATCAAATATTACATATCAGTGTACTACACAAACAAGATTAGGTCATCCTTTTCTCAGATTGACTCAATTGGCTCCCTAGGCTTTTAAAATAAGTCCAAATGCCCACAAGGCCTTCTATAAAGCAGCTGCTGTCTCTTCCTCCTCCTCATCCCTTGCTGTCCCTCCACACCCTCTCCATGCCTTCGGTGGTGAAAGCACCATGCTCTCTTCTGCCTCAAGTCCTTCCCACATGTTTCCATGCCCAGAATACTCTTCCCCTTCATCCTCACCTAGTTGACTTCGACTCACCTTCCACATCACAACTTTAATACCACTTTCTCAGGGGACACTGTGTTGACACCCAGTCCTTCACCCTTACTCCAAAAATTAAACAAACTCCCTGCACTTTTCCTTCAGAGCTCTTCTTTCAATATCACAGCCTGATGGTATATTCAGCTGAGAAAGGAATAAAGGGCTGTCACCTCCCCCAGACCGTCAGATCCACGACAACAGGAACTCCCTCTATTACACTCACTGTGAGAGTCCCATTGTTATGACACAGGGACACAAAGGTACTCAATAAACACTTGCTAGATGTAACACCGGATCCACTAATATTCGTATATGTCTAGGAGCATAGGAAATCAAAGTGACAGTTGTGTAGATTTACTAAAGACACAACCCTGCTTTCTAGTAGATCTCATGTTCAAAACAATATACACACGACATTTAATAAATAGTTATACAGGAAAACACTTTGGCAGTTCCTCAAAAAGTTAAGCAGTTATGACCTAGAAATTACTCCACAACTCAATATACTCAAAAGAACAGAAAACATCTGTTCACACAAAATGTGTACATGTCTACTCCCTGTCATCATCTTTTGCCACTCTCTCCACTACAGCATAATTCATGACAGCTAAGGAGTAGAAATGTCTATCAACTGGTGAATGGATACACAAAATGTGGTATATCCATTCAATGGAATGTTGTCCAGCCATAAAAAGGAACGAAGTACTGACACAACAACATGAGAGAACCTTGAAAATATGCTAAGTGAAAGAAGTCAGACAAAAAAGCCACATATGGTATGATCCCATTTATATAAAATGTCTAGAATAGTCAAATCCAAAAGATAGTATGTAGATTAGTATTGAGATTTGAAACTCCCCTGGGGCACCCAAAACTAGCTTCTCTGCTTAGTTTAAAGATAGGTA